TTTTTATTAATTTTAACTATTATAATATTTTTATTAAATTAAATCCTGATAAAATTTTATGATTATTAACAAAAATTAAATTAAAATTTTATTTTAAATTAAAATTAAATTAAATTTTATTTTTATTATTTTATTTTATTTGATTTCTTTTTAATTTCAAATGTTCTGGAATGTTAATGAAACTAAGATTATCGTGTATATTTTTGTATAAGTTTCTCATATTTGTCAAAATGATTAGATGAATTATTTTCAATATAGAAATAAACATTTATAGATCGATAGAGAAAAAACGAATTTTCAAAAATGCATATCCAAATTTAATACATAATAAATAAAATATTCACTGTTTCAATCAGAAATTATTTAAATTATTTTTGATCGATCTATAAAATCGTCATATATATATTTTAATAAATTTTGCCTACCGCAAGAAAGTAATAACTAGGCATGCACATACCCATCATACATTTCAACAATTCCACGAAGTATATTGGACACGTTATACGTTCGATACGTGCTACGAGACTGCGATCAATGCACAATTAGAAAAATTTGTGAAAAAAAATATCAAAACGAATATATTAATATATATATATATATATATGTATATATTACCTCAGGATTCTCAGATGATGTTCGACGATTACACCTATTTTGTTGATATGATTATCCTTATTCTCTTTTTGCAGGCGATCCACGAATTCGTTAACCCATATTATCATTATATTCAACTGACCAAGAGCATGGCATGTAAAGATAGTTGCAAGAGTGAAAGAGGCGCTGGCACTCGAACTCACGACAAATGCTGATAGAAACTGAGTACCAAGCATGATATCATGAATCGTTGGATCGGTATCAAATGGAATCTTATAAGCAGGACAAGGTAAGCTGTACAATTCCACGGTTTTATTGTCAACATGTATGGATCGTTTGAATATTCCGAATATGAAACACGTAAAAAAAATGACAATTTGCATAAAAATTGCGCAGAAAACTGCAACATAACGGCCGATTTTTGCATTCCTCAGCATCACTTGTTGATCTTGCGTTCTTGTTATCAATTTCCAATCGGCTCGTAAATGTTCTATGCAATGAAGTATGTCATTTTTACGTAACAATAATATGGCATAATTGAACCCATCGACACACCAATGAGACAAAGGACCGAATATTTTCAATTTTACATAGATATCTTGTTTTACGAAAAGTATGTAAAGTATACCAGGTATTATCGTAAATAATATTATGCACCAACAAATTACAATCAAAATTTGCGATATGATTCTCTCCATCTTCGTGGTAGAAGATGAGGCAGGCCATGCGCCTAATGGTTTTAAATACCATCTACTCAGTTTTATACTATATTCGCTGAAATTATCAAATTTCTGTTTGGCCACATTAATGTCGTTTGTCATCACGTTCTCTCCCTGATTTCCTTGACAAAGTCGCGGAGACAACTGAATCGAGAATTGGTTTGTCGAACTATGTTCTCCAACGCTTGCGCAAAGGATGCGCATCGATCGATTCGTCTAGTCAGTTGTTTTTTCAATCATAGTGAATATGTTAACAGTATAGGTACATTTCAAGTTGTCGACAGTAGCTGAAATGAATTGGGTAATATGCACCGTGCTATGGACTAATAAAGAATTAAATAAATAAAGAATAAATCAGCAATAAATTCATAAAAAATTAAAATTATTTTAAACATTTGAAATATGATCTAGAATATGATATGCTATATGGAATATTTTGAAATCGTAAATATATCATTTTATCACAAGAAATTCAATCCGTACATTGCTAGTGCAGTTGAAGTCTCCTCCTCAACCACCAGTTGATTCAATTCGTAGAGTATATACGTATGTATACATATATATATAGTGAAGAGGTAAGGTATATATAGTGAAGTGTAAATATTCAATATCTTTAGAAATATTTACTTATTTATAATTATTATTTTATAAAAAAATTTAATTTAAAAATTGAAAATTAAAAAGAAAATTAATTCTGTATAAATATAAATAAAAAAATATTTGTTGAATTTTTAATTTCACATAAATTTATTTAAATTAAAAAATTATAAAGTTTAATATCTAAGTATATGTTGAGTACATGTTTACATCATTGTAATTTGACGTAACACATTTAAGTAAGCGAAAACTGATTTTACTATCTGGAATGGCAAATTATTCCATAAATTTCTTTATAAATTGCATAAAAATTTTTTTTTCAGTAAAAGAATTATGGAAACATACCTTACCAAATGTAAGCACTGACATATTAGTCATCTTTCCAGCAGTCATATTTATATTTATACTAGATCGTTTAATGATCATCATCAAATTAAGAATATTTTTATCAGATAATTCGTACCAATTTGTCATGTAAACTATGTCACCGATTTTCTTACACTATGAAAAATTTGATTATTCGGTAAGTGATTGAATTAACTAATTATTTATTAAAATATATAAATTACCTCTTCTGTTATAATTTCACCGATATAACATACTAAAAAAATATTATAAGTCATAGATATAATTATCATAACATATACTGTCAGGTTTTGAACATTGTGTTCAGACCATTCCTAGGAAAACAAATATTTTTAATTCGACAAAATTATCCTTATATTTATCTTGTTCAAATTAATCGAATAATTTTTTTTATTATTTCAATGTAAAATGAATAAAAAATTGCATCTTATCATATATATTGTTGTTCCATAGATTGAAAAATTATGTAAATTTTCATTATTAGTGGTAATCTAAATAATTATGATGGCTATGGAAATATAGAAAATATTGAAAAATATTCTTTTACTATTTTATCATAATTCATTAAAAAAATTTAGCATTTACTCAATAGACCTATAAAATTATCGTACATACACATTTTAATTCATTTACCATAAGAATATAATATATAGGCATGCATATTCCCACCATACATTTAATCATTTCCATGAAACATATTGGACTCATCACATGTTCAATACGTGCTATGAAACTGTAAAAAATAAATAAGAGAAATTCTTTAAAAACAATCAAGAAAAAATGCAAAAACAATTACCTTAGAATTCTCAAATGATGTTCGATGATTATACCTATTTTATTAATATAGGCATTATTATTTAATTCCATTGACCGATTAACGTACTCATTGATCCATATCATCATCAGATTCAACTGACCAAGAGCATGGCTTGCACATACAGCAACAAAACTAAAAGCGCCAGCGGTGCTCGAACTACATATAAATGCGGACAATAATTGCGTACCCAATATAATATCGTGTGTTGGATTTGTATCAACTGGCATATTATAAGCTGGACAAGGTAAGTTGTATATGTTCACAGTCTCGTTGTCGACTTTAATAGTTTCTTTGAATGCTCCCAATGCAAGACAAGTACAAAAGACGCCACCTTGTAAGAAAACTGTACAGAAAACTGCGACGTAACGACCAATTTTCGCGTTTTTTAACATCACTTGTTGATCTTGCTTCTTTGTAATAATATTCCAATCGGCGCATATTTGTTTTATGCAATAATGTATATCATCTTTACATAGCAATAACACAGCATAATTGAATCCTCCAACTAACCAGTGGGTCAGAGGACCTAGAAATTTCAATTTCACGTAAATATTTTCTTTTTCTAAGAAAATGTGAAGCACACCCGGAATTAACGTGAATAACGAAGAGATCCAACAGATGACAATTAAAATTTTTGAAACAATTTTTTCGATTCTTGACTTATAAAGTGAGGCTGGCCATGCACCTATTGGTTTCAATATCCATCGATTGAATTGTATGCTGTATTCGGAAAGATTACCGAATTTCTTTTCGATTTTTATAAGATCATCTGCCATCGTGCAGTCACAACAAAATCGCGCATGCAACTGAATCGAGGATTCGGTGCGCTGTATTTATCCAACGCTTGCGCATACTTTGTCAAAGGATATGCGCCGATCGATTTGATACAGTTAATGAAACTTATGTGAGTATACATTTCAAATTGTTGATAGTAACGGTATGAATTCGAGAATATGTGTGCAGTAGAAACTAAATTGTACTTTCTTTATTAAATTAAATAATTTAATTTCTACTGTACACATAATCGAATTCATATAGTATTTTCGAAATTTATAACATGATTTGGAAATGTGATACGCTATGTCAGATAATGTCATTCTAGAAATGTGAACGAAGAAGATTTATTTTTTATTTAATATTTTTTTTAAACTTATTTTTTTTAAACTAAATTCTAATAAGTATTAATAAATATTCAAGATTTAAAGAAAAAAAAAAAAAAAAGATCAAAATAGTATATGACGTTAAGTGTTACTGTGATTTTAAGTGTTCATTTCAATTAAATCGGTGTAAGTAAATTATATAAATAGAAAAAATTTTTAATATTTTCTTCATGCAATTGTTTAGAATATGCTGATAGAAAATGTGTACTATTTATAATAATATCATAAAACTGCAAATTATAACTTTTTGAAATGGAGAAATGCAATATATAATTGATTATTATGGATGAAACAAAAATTTCTTATTTCATATTTCTTTTAAAATCATTCACAATATAATTAGTAATATGCAAAGTTTATTATTAAATGTATATTTGATACATATTATCCTTATGCTCAATATATGTGCACTTTACAATATAGTCATTTGGCGTAATATATTTAGATATACAAAAACAGTTTTTACAATCTGAAATTGTAAATATATTTGAATATTTTCGATAATGTATTTCAACTAATGATATATTTCATAAAAATTTGAAAAAATCAGACGTACATTACCAAATGTGATTACCGATATATCAATTATCTTTCCAGCAGTCATTTTATATTCTACGCTAGATCGTATAATAATCATAATCAGATTAAAAATATCTTTATCAGGTAAATGATACCAATTTGTCATGTAGACAATGTTACCAATTTCTTTACATCTTTCAGTTAATATTTCACCGATATAACATATTAAAAATGTGCTTAAAATCACATTCATTACTGCAAAAGTATATATACCGAGGACCCTAATATCACGTTCAGACCATTCCTAAGAGAAAATGAATAATTTTAATTAGATTGATTATTTGTTATTAATCTAATGATTTTCTTATTACTTGAATTTATGAAATTCATAAAAAATTATATATAGAATAGGATTCATTTAATTAATTTCAATTATCTTGGAATAATTAGGTAAAATGTTTTACATTTCCAAAAATAGATTAAACTTAATACTTAAAAAATTTCTAAAATTAAAAAATTAATAGAAATGAATCTTATTCTATATCAAATTGAATGATTCTATTAAAAGTAAAGAATTTAATATATTTATATTGTAAATCAGTGTCTTAAAAATTTATGTTTTAATATTTCTGTTTACAGTGATGAAATTTGCGGATCTGTGTAGTACATCAACGTGCGACAAATCAAATTATTTTCAACAAAAAAAAAAAAAAAACACAAAATTGATTATAGATTTTGAAAACGAAAATCTTAACAA